TTTCGTGGTCTTCCTCAGTCCCTCCAGACGAAAACTGTGATAGTACATTGAAATAGGCCACAAGCGATTTCTTCCACATGCTGCACTAACCGAGCTACTGAACACACCTTTAAATGAACAGCGAATCCTTCAGCATTACACGTACCATAGCGTACGTCACGTGATGTCCAAACGGCCTAGGCAGTGCCCATCCGCCCAAATGTAACCGTGTATGTGATTAGTGCGGCATCTGTTGAGAATTGTTGCACACGTTTCCTTACTTCCCCTGCTTCCTCTCGTAGTTCCTTCCAGCCCTGTAGTCGAGGCCAACGGTTGACGCCACCTCCCACGAATAACATGCACAAATATAGAATCGTAAACCCTCTACGAGGGAGAGTCAGTAAATTGTTTACAAATGGAAGTAAAACAGCTGTAATGGACCTAATAGGTTTTCTGTGTGTATCACTAGGTAGCAGCACAGTCCAGTTTCATATATACGTAACAGAAGCGCATGAGTATGTTCAGAGACTGGTTTCAGTAGTTAAAATGGCGACCGTTCTTGAGTAGTGTACTAACGAAGATCAGTGTTCTGTTGTGCGTTTTCTTTGAGTAAATGGACTCAGTGCAAAGGATACTCATAAAGAAATGTTTCCTATCTACGGTGGAAAGTGTTTGTCGTGTAAAGCGGTTCACAACTGGGTCGAGAAATTATCTCAAGGACGTTCGAAAGTCGCAGACAATTCCCGGCCAAGTGCGGAAGTGGCTGAGACAACAGCCAAAAGACTTCAGTGCTGCGGGTTTCGGCGCACTGGTAAAGCGATGGGACAAGTGTATCAGTGTTGGCGGAGGATATGTCGAGAAATAAATGTTCTTCCCAGGTTCGATATCACACGTTTTACCTTCTATAACCATCCCACACACTACATTTCACATGTTTGCATCAGAATGCTAGTATCAGTGCCCACGAAACGACATCACACACCGAAACAAATGATTGCTCGCTCGTTCGTAACCTATTACATAATTTACTTCGGCAAACGTGTTAACGCTAGGCAGTTTGTGGATATTTTGATACGTAATGCTACACTCGCAGAACTGCAGTGTATGTGTATGTACACATGTAAGGTTATATCAGACGTGTCTCAAGGGCAGTACATGACAACACAAAACTCTAGAGAGAGGAAAATAGCTTGTTATCTCTGCATTTCACAACGAAGGCCTTGTTTTACCGCAAGCTTTCCATTACGATAAGAAAAGTACGTGAGACGCAAGGAATTCCAGCAAGAGGCTCTGGTCGTCCACTGAGGCTCTGAGTCATTGCAGAGCCTTTGTCTCCGGTTGCTATGGAGACGCAATCTACATTGCAATATTCGCTATCATAGTCCGCGTCTACACATAGCCTTCTCGAAATGCAGTTTCCACCTTCAATTTGCTTGGGAGCCTTTGGGCACCAAGATCAGGAAACGCAGTTACGTGTGGTGCGTATATAGGGGGCCGTGAAACGCAGGCAACGCAGATATACAGTGGGCACAGGAATCTTCGGTGGATAAACGGCTGGAAGCTTCACCGCGATTGCCTAGAGAAAGTGGGAGCATCGACGTCCCACAGCCTTGTGGGCCTCCACGGACTGTCAGACGAAATGCAAGCGCAAGCCGTGAAATGGAGGTGCAGTTGATGTACAGTCCGTGTAGCACGACGAAATGAAGTATCATTCGCTCCATTTGTCTTAACATTTGCTTACTTCTGAATCAATGATACTATTTTTAGCCTACTGTCCTAAAGTAGGCTTATACGGTTTCCATGCTGTCTGTGTGCCTCTAAATTCTCCTGTTAACTTTTGAACGCCCCAACCAATCTTTATGAAACTTGGTATATATGTCATGACGCTCGAGCCCATATCATCAGCGTAATTCATAAATCCCTCCATCAGTCTGTGTGTCTATTATGTGTATCCTTGTATCGTTGCTAGGCAACGACTCGCTAAAGCGTAACGCTCCTAGGCAATGGCTTTGTAGTCACGTTCCCGCGGCAAAGAATAGACGCAAAAATCGAAAAACTGTTGGATTCGTCATTTACTACGCGGTCCGTGTCGTATCAAAGGAACGTAGACAATTAGTTCTTCCCAGGACTTCTTGGTTGAAACGGGGACAGACCGACAGACACAGTTGCGGCTCTTAAATAATATTACAGTGGGACACGCTTAGACCTATTCTATAGTCAGTGCAGGCTGCGGGAGGAGCTGCGCCCCCCCGGCACCAGAACAAACCTCCATTTGCAGTGCAAAGTGAAGCGACAGGCTGATATATACATGTCACGCAAAAAGGGTAAGAGGGTCGTGGAGGTAAACTTGCGTTACTGTGCTGGGCTTCAGGACTTCACAGCTATGATGTGACCCCGTGCAGTCAGGTAAAATCTCAAAGCCGTTTCGGAGGAATGTAATGCCTCCACATTCTGCCTAAGTCTCGCTGCTTGCTTGCTTAGTTTGCACCTCGATCCTGAAGATGGATGCAGTATTTTGCTCCGAGACGTCGGCAATTATTTACCGGACTACACGGCGTCATATCACAGAAGATAGTGAATTTCCTACATTATCAATTTTCGGCCACTATGCTACAAGCCGGAAGGTCGCCGGTTCGATTCCCAATGGGGTCATTGGATTTTTCAATTGACTCAATCCTTCCAGCGGCACTATGGCCCTGGGGTCGACTCACTGTCAGCCTCTAACAGAAATGAGTACCAGGAATCTTCCTGGGATGTAAAAGGCGGCTGGCGCGTAGGGCAGAGAACTTCAACTCCATCTGTGAGCCGATTCTTTAGAAAATGTGGGAGCCTCGACGTCTCACAGGCCTATGGGACAAACCTGGCAACGTCGCCATGACAACTCGTGGGTTCTTGTTGCCTTGCCGATAAGATACGGGAGCCATGGAAAATCGGTTGCATTGTTGCGACACGTGACAGTCACACGTGTAGAACAAAAGACTGTCGTTCGGACAGTACCCACAGATGGTTCCCTATAGGATATTTCGCAACATTTCTCTATTTACATAAAAGCGAACTGCGCTTATCGACACTTGAACATACATGAAACAAACACTTTTATTACGGCGGTGTTGCAATGTTTATCAAACACTTGTGGGTACTTTAATTGCTGTTCCTGGAAAGTCCACGGGACATGGGGTGTGAATGGAAAAGGTCGTGGCCTATTCTGAGATAATATCCAATAATGTGCCCGAAGAAACTGAGAAAACTCGCGACGGTAGAACTTCCGAGCCACGCTTAGAGCCCGGCGCGCAGCGTGGCCGCGTGATGGCAGGAATATTCCCGGAAGGATGGGAAATTTGGGGCACAACTAATATCGGTTCTCATAAACTAATTAACTAAGTAATTAACTCCATGGAGCATAGTCCTTACTGAGAAGCTAGGAGTTACTCAGTGACTCAAGGAATTCCCAGCAGATTATGGAAATCGAATGTTCATTACACCGGTCGGATCAATGCAGTTCACACCCTTCCACTCTGTGTATCTCTGTGACGTATTTAATTTTATCCTTCATCTTCTTCCGTGTCCTCCTATTGGACTCTCTTCTCCGCGCTTTTTGACTAGTGTTCTGAATGTGTTACTGTTTCTTCCATGAGTGTTACATGCCCGAGCCATCTTATTCCCTTTTTCTGATCACCCTACTAAAGCATGAAGTCAAGCAGGTTATCACAGAGGCAACTCAGCAGGCTCGTATTCAACTGTTCCTCGGTTTGGATCTCGTCCGGGAAGACGGCTGTCCTAATTCAGGTGTTTCTTGGTTTTCCTCAGTCCTTCTAGGTGAAAGTTGGCATGACCCCTCAATTAGGCAACGACTCGCTCCTTCCGAATCCTTACAATTATTTAATCACCATTCGTCCTACCCTTCCACATTATAGAGCCTGAGATACTGTCAACGTTGTTAAATAAGCAACTGGGAAGGACGACGAATCCCCGTTATATGATTTTCTCCAGCCTCCTGTTTCACCCTTCCTCTTAGGTCCAAACTCTACTTCACACCCTGTTCTGTAACAACTTCGGTCCGTGTTCTTCCCTTGGTGTGGGAGATCAGCTTTCACACTCATATTAAACAACTGTAAAATGATAGTTTTATATATTTTACCCAGTTTAATAAAAGAAGGTAAAGCTGCCCCTGTAACAGGCTGTGGAGGCCCATAGGTTTATGAGACGTCGAGGCTCCCGCATTTTATAGACAGTCGGCTCACAGATCGCTGCGAGGTTGTCAGCCTTACGCGCCGGATGCAGGAAGATTCCTGGTACTCATTTCTGTTAGAGGCTGAGTCGAACCCAGGGCCATAGTGCTGCTGGAAGGATCAGGTGAATTAAAAGTCCAATGACCTGATCGGAAATCGAAACCCCGACCTTACGCCTTGTACCATAGTGCCGATATGGAATATGTGAATGAATACATGTTCCATATTATCAAATGCGCACGTATGAAGCACAGACATTCGTAACAAGTCCAACACCCGTGGATCCCCACCTGCGCCTATCCTAGCAGCGGTAGAAGACAGTGTTAGTTTTCTCCAGTTCCTTAGTAACGATTCCATTGTTGCCACGATCCCAGTGCCTTTCTTACAGAGGAAATAATGGGGAAGTCAGATGTCTTGGACTGGAACCCATGCAGAACCTCCGCGAGGAGCTACTCTAACATCATGCCAAATGTGGTCGAATAATATGCAACGGTGTGGATATTATGAAGAACAAAAGAAAAACAACATATGGACACACACTCATCTTTATAAATTCAAGAGAATAAATATAATTATCGACACAATTATTTGTAGCAACGTAATCAAGCTCCATTCATCTGTTTTCCATTGCCAACCTTATTACGATTCATCACGGCCTCCTATTTACCGGTGTAGGGAAGTTATGTGGGACAGTACTTCCATCTGACACCGCCAGAGTCGCTGGCGTGCCGGCGGCTGGAAGTCAGGTCGATCTACTGCCCAGTGCCTCCTGGAAGCATTCAGTTTCGAGCTGGCCGTGAGCGAGGTTTGGCGGTATTTCTTGTTGGTGGCGGACATGTTTGTGAACTTGCGTTTACTTTGAGTCATTCCGTGCGTGTGTGTGTTCAGGTGTGTTAGTGTTTGCTTTGCTCTTATCTGAGTGTTTTGAAATAAACTTCTGGATTGGGCAGTTTATGTTGTACGGGCTGAGCTGTAAGGTGAGAATCTCATAAGGTAAGAACTATTTCTTAGAGTGGCAATTGAACTGTGTAGTCTACAGTACGTAACAGACAAGGTTATGAAGTTCAAAATACCTAGTAGAACAGGCTGTTTCCTAACCTGCTTCCCCCAGATGTATATAATCCTTTGCTTTCTTCACTCTTTCGAAATTCATTACAGAGGCTGTAGTTTATGAACTGATTATTGGACTGAAGATTGTTGTCCTCTGGGATGTGACACCGTGTAGTATGGTAGAAAGTTACAAACGGCTAGAAGACAGAGGCAGCGTGTGACTCGAAAGCGCTGGTAACTTTGTAGCGGGATGTGAGGTTCTCACACCTGCGGATATGACGCCGTGTAGTCCGTCGAAAGTCAACCGACGAGGCTGTGCTTCCCGCCTGCTTTCACTGGTTACTTGCGCTCCTTATTCTTCGGCCCTGGAGTTGAAGGCGACATGGCCCTCCGAAATGTCAGTTGACTTTCAGTGGACTACATTGCATTATATTCTAGAAGATAGGACTTTCTAGCAGTCTACACGGCGTCACGACCCAGAAGGTAAATTCTAATAGTGAGTGAGTGCGGATGCCAATCTGACAACGTTCTTGAGTTGTTTACAGACGCACTCTCTGAGCTGTGTACAGTGTTCTTGGTGTGTAACAGTAGGACAGTCGTAAATGATAAACCGGAAGCGATGTGAAAGGAAGAGGTCGGGGCCTGACGTAAATCGTGTGTTGAGGACTCTGTAGATGTATGTACATATACACGCCTTCTCTTGTTTTTTTTTGGGGGGGGGCTATGTTGAAAGCCGCTTGCAGTGAAGAGACGTCACTGCGTCGGCTGGTAGGATGAATACTGAGCGATGGATGAACTGTAAAGGATTAGGAAGGAGACGGCCTGAGGAGGGTCTGAGAAAACCGTCATTAAACCTCTTTAAGGACAGTTGGAGTCCCGGCTCGAAATTCGAAGCCAGTACCTCCCTATGCAAGCGTTGAGCGTTACCGCTCGGTTTCTGTTGTGCTGCACGTTCCGTAGGAAAGAATGCGTTCACACTTCATGCTACTAACGATATATATCATGATGGGTTCTTCTGTCTTCTCAGGTATAACGCCGTATAGTCCGGTGAAAGTCAACCGACGTTTCGGAGGACCATATCGCCTCCATCTTCATGCTTCAAGTGTAAGTCAAGTAAGAAACGAGCATGAAGCAATGCCGGCTTCTTGCTTGGATTACTCTTAATCCCTGGAGATGGATTTATGTTATCTCTGAAACGTCGGTTAACTTTCATCGGACTATATGGTGTTGTGTTCTTAACCACCGGTGAGAGGACCTCAAATCCTATGAGATACACCGTTTGTTAGACTTGTCTATTTTGGTTTGCCGGTCACGGTAGCCGAGCGGTCTTCGATCGCTCGGAAGCCGGGATCGTGGGTTCGAATCCCACCCAGGGCATGGATGTTTGTGTGCGTTTTTCTGTGTTTGTCTACAGGTAGGCCTTGCGACGAGCTGATCACTCGCCCAAGGAGTCCTACCGAATGTGTAAGATGTAGTAAACCGAAGTGAAACGGAGAGTTTTATAGAGGTAGGCCTAAGCCCAAATTGGGGCTGTAGCGCCACAGAAAAAAAAATTGTTTTAGTGAAAGGTAAGGTGAAAAGGTAAAGCTATCTCTGTAACAGGCCGTGGAGGCCAATAGGGTCGTGAGACGTCGAAGCTCCCACATTTACTAGACAGTCGGCTCATGGATGGCGGTAAGGTTGTCAGCCTTACGAGCCGGCCGCCCTTTACCTCCCAGGAAGATTCCTGGTACTCATTTCTGTTAGAGGCTGAGTAAACCCTAGGGGCATAGTGCGGCTGGAAGGATTAGGTCAATTGAAAAATTCAGTGGCCTTATCGGGATTTGAACCCGCGACCTTCCTGCTTATAGCATAATGCCTCAAATAATTACGCTACCAGTTTAGTATCTTTGATATATCTACACCCACCACCCAAATGTACACTTCTTATGCTTCTGTAAACGTAATGTGTACATTATATGGAAATATGGGGAAGATGGACTCCTTGAGCATGGCAAGGGTTAGAGCATAACACAAGTTAATTAGTTCATCGAGAATTTGACAGTTTGATTCATCAGATTCCTGAGCATTTCAGTAGAGCATAAATTTGCCGTTTTTTTGTATGATTATGCTGCTCCTATCTTTAGGGTTGAAGTGAGTAGCTGTGTGAGTGTTCACTTCGACACTGCAGATGGAGGCAACGTGTACCTCCGAAACATCGGCAACACCGCCGACATCCACACGGTGCAGACATGAAATAAATTAATGTCAGCGCCTCAATGGCTGAAGTCAGTGAAGTCCACATCCCAACGCTTTACCTTTTTCAGTTCCCATTACTTTATCTCCCCAATTGACCCTTGTCAGGAGGCTGGTTGGGAACTACCTGGGAACCTTCTGAGCCGGAAATTGTTTGTTTCCCCTTTAAGACATAGTATCCCCCCCCACACTTTGTATTCTCTTGTTCTCTCTCCAGGCCTCGAAGTTTTAAAGAAAATTATTAAAAATTACAACCATTTATAATCGTCTATACACCTGAAACTGAGCGTAGTGGTAGAAGGGACTTTCATGCGCATGCGCGATATTTTGCTGACTCGCAACACTGCCGGATGCATCTGTGGCTGCCAGATAGCGAAGTGGTGTAAGACGTGTTCGTCGCATTCTCGTTTCGCTCAAGATGACAGAACGCTTGGAGCAGCGATACTGCATTAAGTTTTGTCAGAAACTTGGGGATACTCAAGCGGAAACAGTCCGCAAAATTCAGCAGGCTTTCGGCAATGATGCAATGGGGGTCACTCAAAGAGTGGTTCAACCGCTTTAAACATGGCCGTATGTCGGCGGACAGTGAGCAGCGTTCCGGGAGACCGTCAACGAGCCGAAATGCTGATGTCATTGAAAAAGTGCGGACACTGATCGTGGGGGACCGTCGTTTGGCCATCCGGCGAGTTTCTGATGAGGTTGGGATCAGCAGAGGTTCCGCAAACACAATTTTAACTGAGGATTTGGGCATGCGACTTCAGAGCTAGCGCAGCAAAAGTTCATTCGTTGAGAGGAAGTAATTTTTTTGTTCACCCTGTGGTTGTGGTTGTGGTTGTCAAATCCGCATAGTAGAAGTGAAATCAAAGCGGGTGGGGAGCCTTCGCCCAAGAATGCAGCCCCCCAGGGGGCCTGTGTGCCCGAGTACAATTAATGGTGTGCCGTTTGTAGTGTCCCGCCTGATTGATGGCCGGAGCCACTGTCATTCCCATCATGCATTGCACCCCCGTAACTTGCACTTCATTGTTTTCAAACCGTGGTCAGCATACCGCCAGATATATCGGCAAGTACTGGACACCGTAGCGTGGTCCTCAGGGCGGTGATTCCGTAGGAGAAACAGGCTTCCTCCATCTTCAATGTAGAGTACGTCGGTGCGTTATCATTTAAAGCCTGAAAGTGGAGTGGAGGGTGAGTGAGAGACACTGAATTGTAGGGGAGGAGGCACAGAAATATATTCTGCCTTAAAGGTTCCCAGGTAGTGCCCATTTGTCCTTCTGCTAGAGGTATATTTGAAAGAGGGTAAAGGCTTACATTGTGCACGTTGTTATGAGCAGAGGAAAGAAGTTGTGTGAGATTTTGATGTTGAGGTTGAGAGGTCTGCATTGACGCGAAAACCCCTGAAGGGAGAGGGAGAAGAAAGAAAATGGATAGGTAATGAGACACACTACATTTGGGGGGGGGAGAAACAGGTTCCCAGGCAGTGACCGCTCGTAACGCATAAGGTCGGAATTAATTGGAAATGTTGCATTAGAGTGAAATGTAATTTGACATTGGGAGGGTACGCGTGAAGCATGCGGTGCGACGTGCAGTTTGGGTGCGGGTGGTACATATAGTAACCAGTAAAGGTAAGGGAAGGTAAAGTTGTCCCTGTACTTAACTGAGTACTACGCCATGAAGGCGTATGGCCTCAGCAGTAGCTGGAAGTGAGTGGTCAGCTTCACCCCCCAGCTGCTTTACCCCCGGGGAAAGAACCACCGGTACCCATTGTATAGTAGGCTGGGTGGACCCCAGAACCGATTTGGACGACGTGGAGAAGAGAGAATTCTTGACCCTACCGGGACTCGAACTCCGACTCCTCAGTCGTCCAGCCCGTAGCCAGTCGCTGTGCCGACTCTATAGTATAACCAGTAGGCTCTAAAAACGGGGAATGAATGAACAGGAATTGGTTCGTGTGTCCACCGACGCGTCTGCAGAAGACGCCTCGTCCGTGAATTAAAGGTAAATGTGACGCCAGGAAATGAGGCAGCAATTAGCGGCGCCAATCGATACGGCCCGTGGGCCGCAGTCACCAGCCCGCAGCAAGAAGCTCTGGGAAGAATATACAGTGCGGTTGCGTTTTGAAATAGTGCGATGCAAAAAGAATATCAAAGAGCCCCACTGCCTCCAGTTGGCCACTAAGGGTTCCTGCTCAGTCCTTTCCAGTTCTCACACTGTGGTTATGAAGATATAGCGCTGTGTAGTCTGTTTCGGAGGAACGTCGCCTTCATCTTCAGGATCGGAGAATAATCGTGAAAGCAGGCAGATAGTTGCCCCTCCTCAGTACCATCTGCCGCTGCGTAGTCCAGCACAGACCTGCACGTAACCCGGAACGTCCTGTCCTGTCAGTCTGCATTCGGAGGGCAGCTCTCAGGAACCGGTTACCGCGTCTCTGCATGCCGATGCTAACAGATCCATTTATGCGGTGTTGACACGTATGCTGTTTTTTTGCATAGTTTTGTTTCGGAAAGTTTGGCAACGTCTATTCCTATCTTTTTACGTTAATCTTTGAACTCCATTGACCTTCGCTGCGCATGTCCAGGTTGAGGCAACCTTTTGTCGCTAGAAGAGAACGTGGTGAGGGGTCATATCATCCGGAAACAGAATTATTGTGGCTGTAAAAACATTTGCCCTGAGATGTACCTAGTTCTCTCAAGCATGCGGCCAGAGCAGGG